TTAGGCTCTTATGATTAGCGCGATCTACATAATTAATAACAACAACAACAACAAGCAGAATCGAAATTACGTATTTACCATAATAATGCAGTAGATTGGTCTGTAACTGTGATTTGTTACAGCTGCCGTAACTAAAGTTATAATTCGGTGGTGCATTAATCGGCAACAAAGATGACTTCTGAAAAAATATCTAGGCTAGCCATAGGATTGCTAGAAAGAGATTTACGTCGCAGGATTGAAAGCCTGAAGTATAGAATGGCTAAAATAAGAGACTGCGTATGGATATCGCTTTCTCATAAAAAGAACTTAAATATACACGATTCTTGTGCATGTGTCGTTGATCTCAAGTTGAATATACGATATATTTTAATAATGTTCCCGATTATAACGATTGTGGGAAAGTTTTGCGTTTTGCGTGGAGAAGCGGCTAAGTTTATCGGAGATACACGTTATTTATGCAGAAACTAAAGACGACATTTGATAAACTCAGCTTATATATAGCTCGGTGCCACAGATGACGCGGAAAAATTGGATTAATCTTATTATTTGTTTTTCATATAAAAGTTGATTTTTAACAAAGAGGATCAAGAAGAGTTTACACTAAAACCCTCCATTGCTTTCCATTCGAAGCACATTGAATGGATCCTATGATGGATTGCAAAGACAATCACTGTATGTTGCGAATTGTTATCAACCGGGACTTAACTTGCGGGTGGTAGCGATAGCAGCGCCAGTAATTTTTATTCAGATAAAGATTAATAAATGAGGGCATATTATTTAGCTGTCCGAGGACAAAGGCCCGAGTGGTTTCTGTCTTCGTCACGGAGGGGTATCTCGTCAGCAAAAAAAAGTGTGAAATAAAGGGTGCGGGATAACACATTTTATTTAGGCTATGCAAGCTTTGAGTTGAGCGTATCTGTCCTACGGGTTCTGTAGTAGTGTCCAAGGGAATCCGCATAGACGGTCAGCCGAGGAAATGCCTGGTATAATAGGTGTTTCTCTCTAGGTAGCATAATATTCACGAGTTCCGCAATCCAGAACAGAAAAACAATTTTTGTCTTTGGGTTGTTCGATAAATTGTGCTCCGACAGCGCACTGAAGACAGGCGTGTTTCGGTGTCATTGGCAAACCCAAAGATAGCAATAAATAAGATTCGAATGAACTGAGCATAACTAGCAACCTTCAGCTTTTTCTTTTTTTCTTTTTTTTTATAAGAATAAGCAGCCGGTAGAAGTATCGGGCCGAGATGCCATGAGCGGACCACACGTTTCTGACGGGCGAGTTACGTTTCCACAGCGGCCACCTACGCAGCGATTACTCAATGATAGCCAGAAACACGTTAAAAATCACATTCGCAGTGAGCACATTCTGGGAGATTGTAATTTTCAGAAGAAAACTGCATCGTTTATTGATAAAGATGTGCTTCGTGAAGGAGAGCACGCTAGAATGATTCTTAGGCATTTGGGGGGCGGACATAAGATGTTATGAAATACAGTTCATTGACGACGCATGCGCAAGAAACACATTGCAAGCTAGAAACGTCAATGTTAGAGCAAGTTCGATCAGAACACCCGCATCATTTCTATACTGTCATGTTGTTTCGCATAATATATACGTTAAACCCATTATTGCTTATATGACCCGAACTTTAACTACGCATCGAACTTGTGGTTCATCCTCCGTCAGTGCTCGCTCAATTATCGTTGCATTTTACGGCAAGGTGAAGGCCGCTTCTGTCGTGGGACAATACAGAGGTTGCTTACATAACCTTTGATTACTTTTCGAGCATAGACAAACTCATTAGCCGGGCTGTCCTCGAACACAAGTCTTCAGTCGTGCGACCCAACGCTTCGCCGTACTTCTTTCTAGTTAAACCACGTTTGTTTTCAGTTTTCTTATGTGATTTTCCTTGTGCAAACTACCAAACCTACATTTACAATTCACGTATGTCTTACTTGCTGCTTTCACAACCCGTTCTATTCATCATTGGACGTATGCGCGTTAGACACAGACGTTGTGCGACATTTGATGAGCAACGGTCCTGTCACCGCGCTATGCAAGAATCCAGAGGCAAATAACCGTCCTACTAACCACGAAGACCTCGTAAGCATATATTTGCTGTGATGAAACGGGGAACACGATATAGAAAAAAGTGTCGACCAGTCCCTGATTGGCAAAACAGAGCACGGAACATTGACAGGTGGGACAGTACGTAGGAAACCTGCCTGGACCAAACGACAAAATAACGACTTGTCCATGCAAAACGTATGTTACACGGATGCGTGAAGTGTGATGGAATCATTTACAACGATCAAATGATAGCGCGCTAATATTATACATACTTAGAGCTGGTGTTAGGTCGTTTAGAAATCGATAAAACCGTCAGCTGCCGTACAAATGCTAATTCTTTAGACTGGCTGGATGTTGCCACCCAGTTATCTCAATGTGATTTTATTTTGCATTTTTTTTCTGCGTTAGAATTTTCTGTTCATCATCACGCGAGTCATCCGCGACTGTACAGGTATAGAAAATCGGTCAATGGCATGCCACTACATGGAAGGGCCCAGACTGCAAATCATCTATTAACTTCAACAACTCATTCACATATGGCCATTTTCGCTCCTTTTTTCTCATGCAATCCACTGCTACGTTCAGCTACCCTGCGACACGCATGTCCGATTCGACCATTCTACAAACAGCCGAACAGCCCCACTCACTTTCGTCAATACGCATCGCTCTGTCATGAAAACCAAGCATACATCCATGTTGAGCACGCGAACCGGGTCCACTGGTATACTTGCAGGTTGCCTAATTTGACATGACTTTGCTAACATTGCCAAGCTATCAGTATATCCAGCTGCAGTTATGGGTGAGGGTCATTTTGGCTTCACGGCACTCCTTGTGCCACTTCAACACGTTAGCAAATGTCGAAACCCGTCTCGATAAAAGGATGTTCTTCACGTTTGCTAGTTCTTGATTACTTTTGTTGTACATTTCGTGCTACAAACGCCCTTTGCATAGCGCAACTATGTCCCCCCTTCTTCACCCCCTTCTCGTATGCGATACATTTCTTTTTCTGTTTATAACTACCTGCAGTGCTATGGTCTGTACATGTTAACTTTATTCTCTCGCTTTTTTACCTGCTTGGATTCACTTCTCACACGATCGTCGTTTATCGACTAAAGAGCTTAATCGCAGATGTTCTTGACGAGATTCGGTCTTCAAAACTTTGCACTGCTTTTCTACCTTCTTGAAAACCGCCCCGAGTATTGACAAAATCCTATTTCAGATGGTGGCTAACCTTCACCCACCACCGTGGTTGTAGCGGTAATTTCTTAAAGGGGCTGCACCTGTCGTCGAACTTATTCTTGTAACCAATCTGTTCCAAGCGTCGTCCATTGGCCTTACGTGACGTCGCCCTATCGACCTTCCTATATGGCATCTCTTCACATGATTATTTTACAATATGGCAATCTCTTCGGATTCACCTTCACAAAACTGTCATTTATTTGTCTACCGCTGCCCACTGTTACCATCTTCTCCTGACCTCTCGACCAGTTGGCACACCAGCTTATCTGCATTTTCAATAGCTCACGATACATTGTTTTTAGCACAATGCGATTTCTACGCACACACTGCAATTACGCTTACGACACAACGATTTCTCGCAAATCATTCCGTGACTCCGCAGTCATTTGGCAACACGCTTTTCGGGCCATCTTGCACGTCCCTGTAATGTGTATTCAGCACACAACCTTGCGCTACGCCGTGAAGCATGAGTACCGCTCCGTTCTTTTCTTCGAAGACAAGGCCAGTTAACGTTACAAGCAAGGTTTGAGCTACATAATAAAAAACTCTTATCAAGTAAAAGGCCCTGCTCACTTCCGGTGGACGCTTTTCGTAAACACGTCCATCCACCCTACACTCAATCCGCCCTTCGTTCTCGTGTTAACTGAAAATTCGATTAGCGAAATAGCTGCCTAGGGCTCTACAGCTGGTCAATTAAGCCAGTTCAGCCCAGTGACCTTTAAAATGGGTCAATGTCTGCACTAGGCTATAGCCAGCGACACCCCTGCCAAACGATTATTTTATATTGCAGCAGAACTGGTGACCGGACTGCGGTACGCAACCCGACCATTGCCTCCCACTGCTTTTCCCACCTGTCTTTCACCTTTGCCGCCCGCTTCTTTTTCCAAACCATCATACATAGTTCCAGCCCAGTCTCGCTGACCTTTTTTGTGTCGATGGTCGCTTCCTCGCCGCCAGCTGCAGCGTTTAAGATCGAGGATGCAAGGCACCTCGAACTTGCTGCTAATAGCCGCTAATTTATCTCCGCATCGTTATTTTTTACGTTTGCCGATCACTTTTCTCAGACATTTTTAATAACCCGCTTCGGGTCTTCTCTTCTTTCGATCCAGTCTTGAACCTCTCGTGGGCCATTTTAACAGAAAAATATGTTGTATAAATGCTACAAAAATCTAATTTTCTCATGAACGAAAATATTACGGATCCCCTTCAAAGGATTAAAGAATTGCCAGCACCCGACCAAAATTTGGCCTGGGCAAGCCCATTAGGCAAATATGTATTTCGTAGACTCATTCAGTTTTTAACATTATAGTAACCATGAATATCGCCAGATCGGTACGACCAAGGTCTAACAGGGTTCAACTGTAAGAATAGAGCAAACCAAAAGTTATTTCTTGATTAATTTTATACACTATGAGCCTAGACCCCAACGTGGATTTTTCGTATTTGTGTAAGTTTTTCTCGGACTTCACAGAAGCTATTTAATCACCGACAATTGCGTAGACTATCAGCAATATCATAAACTTAATGTCAATGCAAAAATTTGGTTTCATGATTGGAGACGTTGGGCAACAACTGCTATTCGTTTATATTTTAAAAACTTCTACCTTCGCCATAATGTGTTTGTACTTGGCTGAATGTTCTTCTGGCGGTCAAATCGACGGATGCTCACTACGACAGACCGATGCCAAATATTTGCCATATGCGTTTTTATCCTAGAAAAAAAAAGTTACGGTCGCGTTGTCATCGGTCTTTGCGGTCTGATAAATCGATTTTAAAAGTTCGAAAAGCTAAACAGTTGACAACTAGGCAGTGGAAAATTTACGTCGCTGACGGGAGCAGATAGAATAGTATGTACCAATACGTATCCGTGCGTACTAACAGATGCAATATGCATTTTTATAGCTTTAATTGAAATCACCCATTTTGTAGAAACTACTCATAAATCTCATTCGCAGATCACGTTGGTGCATAGAAGATACACCGGGCAAAGCCGGCCGTACGTGAGAAAACAGGCTATTTTATTTCAACCCTTAAACCTAACTTCTTCTCGGAAAAACGGAAGTACTAGTAACGAGGCTAGGTGTCTGGATAGGTCTTGCTTCAAGAAGCAAGCATATGAATGTGCCTTCTGTTGCAAGAGTATTTGTGTAAGTTAGATACATATTTATGTATATGCTTTTTACGCGCTCGGTTTTCATTGTTAAGTTTATGAGAGTTACTGGGGCATCTAATCTCGGTCAGAAACGCCTCTTTAAACGCTAAGCAGAGACAAAATTTAGCGCTAGGCTTATACAGTGTAATTTATTGACTACACCGTGTTGGCCCTATAATAACTGCCCTAAAATCACAAAACGCGAATCAAATAGAAATGGGGAAAATATTGATTTCACATATACCTCTAATAAAATACTTGTATGTTGATATTTATATATTAGACCTCTGACGTATACTCGAAAAACTACCAAACTACTATGATTTGGGTAGTGGATTCGATGACCCCGCAACATGAGTTACCCGTACCAAGTTGAAACTAAGAGATTTGTGCTAAAACGACACAAGGTGGATTTTTTCAAAAACATTTTGTAAACAGATGAAGCTAGAAAATACCGAATACCTTTTCCTACCGGATATTCTCTTAACAGCTAAATCGTTCAGAAGTCAATTGTGTACAAACTGCGGAGGCCTATAGATGGAATAGTTCCATATAGTGGTAACGCCCATACTTCTTGCGCTGTATTCCACGGGTAAGCCGAAATAATACTACAGTTACGTGAACGGTAGTTCAAAGATAGCGTAGCGTGTCTAAATTAAGATTTTAAAAGTTTTTGAGAAATAGGCCTGTTTGCCTGGCTGTAACCAGATTAATTCAATGCATTCATCCCAGTTTTGCTACATGCCATTGTCCAAAAAATCTTAACATAGATAAATCTGTGATCATCAGCTGTTTAGACAAGTCGCCTGCGTCAGCTCTCACTGAGTCACAACCCACCTTGCTCATAAATGGAAACGTACATTAAGGGCTTAAGATATAAAGCAAGAGGATGATACAACGCAACGACTCCAGTATAAAGTGACAACAAAGATTAGGGGCGCGACAAAGGACTAACGAAAAACCAAACGATTTACATTGTGAATGGGGCGCATTAACCCCATGGCCTCGATGACGCTGCCAAAGATCTTGTTTTTTGAAAATTAAAACCTTAGCATAATGCTGCTACTCACGGAGAAAATACAGCTTCCAGACAGCCAAATATTACTCTAACTAGTGCCCACACAAGGATGACAAGTAAAATGCTGTTATCGTTGGAGATGTCGAATCTGTAGTGATATCTTTAAAGGGTATATGAAAAAATTCCTATCTTAAATGGGGTTTCTTCGTGATCCTATTTGAAAGGAACGTATAGACATTACTTGTGCACAAGAGTACGTAAGATGTTCAGATAAGGTATAACATATACGTTCGAAGGTTTGGACCTAGGCGTGTCTAATTTTTGGCAATTGAAAGGTCCCGTTGTTGGCGCCACAAACAGTGATACGAAACTTCACTGTCATATATGGCCTCGATACGGCCACGCTCATATTCGACAACTTGTTTAAAAGGCCCAGGATTAACTAAAAATTTGTTGGTGTTTGTTTAGCCGTATTGATCCACATGGAAAAATTACTAAAAAACAACGCATTAGACTAACACATGCCAATTTAGAGTCTGAAATGAATAGAGTAAAACCACGACCATATGTACATGTGGAACCTAACCCATATACGAACGAAAGTTTGGATGTCGAACACAACTGTACCTTACAAACAAATTCAAGTTTACTGCATACATTAGGCGTACGAATGTTAATCGATTCGTTATATTATTCCCGACGGGGATTTTGCCCGAATATTAGTTGCTCTACAAGAATGACAGCATGACAGGGAGGGACGCAGGCACGCTAGACTCAGAAATCCTAGAAAATTCACGCGGAGCGGAGGAGAAGTAACTTTATCTTTTGCTTCAGGCCTGATGTACAGGTATCGCGGTGCAACGAGAAAGGCTTATCATAGTAGATATGATGAAGAATTGCGCAGTTGATGGAACCAATGTTGTCACTGGACGGAGAAAGGAAGAAAAAGTGCCGTTCGATAATACATAAAATATTCATAATAGAAATAAAGCAGTATACTAAATAAGTGGGTAACTATGACTGGAGACCTATTCTAAGCCCTAAAGAGAACGAATCTAAAGCTTAACGTAATGGCTAAAATTAAATATGTTGCTTCTTGGCGATAATAAGGATGTACTGTATCATTTCTAATAAAACGCATATGGTGAAGTGCTAATTTATCGACGGAGTCGTGCTGAGCTCTAAAAACATTCCACAGATGAAAGACTGAAGAAAACGTTTTTTTTTTGCGACAGGGAACGCGGGGCTGACGAGTTCTATTTTGATGATGACCGGCCAACGGCGACAAGAGGCAGTAGCGGCCATGACAGGCAACACCTATCTTATTTTGACCATATCGTTCGGACACTGACGAGCAGAAGTAAAGCTAGAGATATGTTTATCTTGTTCATCTTCAAAATGATATTTTCGAGTCCAGTATAACGAAACCTTAACAATATTCACAGTGTAAACATTTGTATAATCACAAATCAAACAACATTGATATAAACTAGGTGAGATAAATTTACTAGATACACAATTGAGCAAGTAAACGCACTATACGTATCTCTCTAGATGTTTCGTAACGTACCGGCACCATACTGTGCATACAACGAATGCTGTGCGTCGTCCATTGTCTCAAACAGCAGTTTACATGAGCGAGATACCGTCAGTCCTGCCGCTACCGAAGGCCAACACGAAATACCATCCCACGAACTCGGACAGCGTAGGAGGACATCACCTTTAACACAATCAAAGGTAACAAGAAAGAAAAGCTGTTGGAGCGGTACGTGTAGCGCGTACAGATTATCATGCCCAACTGGAGAAAAACCAAATATTATAATAAAAGTCCGCGCAGATGTCAATGGGCATTGCCAGTGATCATTTAACGAAACCTACTTAAATAAAATAAATATATAGCAGCGTACTGCAATTGTACGCAGGAAAGAATCTTACCGCTACAAAATCGAATTTTGTCCCAGGGAATTTTAATATGGGTCGAAGTAATTTCAACAAGTATAGGCTAATAATAGCTTTTTTCTTAGATGTTCCGCGTACGTCTGCACTGCATGCAGGGAACGTATAAAAAAAAAGCACGTACGTATCGAAAAATCCACACACGATTCGGGCAGGATCCGTGCGAAAGAAGACCCTGAGTTTCTCATAGCCAGATACCGCACAATGGCGTCGTGGCCCAATCTTGAAGCCAGATTCAGTTTCCAATTATACACAACCACTATATAGTTCGATGCATCCGTATCTCGTCAGAAAGTCACTTGCAATTGCCATATATTCAGTCATCTTTATAAGAAAAATATCTTTCTGGCAACATTGCTTCCATTACGTTTGAAAACAGGAGTCTCGATACTTTTCAAATGAGAATATCACGAAAATAAATAGGTTATGTTATCCGCTTAACGCGATTCTACCACGTCCTGTACTAGAGTAACTTTGCAAGCTCTATTTTTTTTTTATCGTAAATCTACAATTTTTCGAAGCGACACGTATCCTTCAGTGGCAACTGGTAGGCGGCAATCTCTCGAGGCAGGAACTCAAGTAATACGTGTGCGCTTTCGCCTTTAAGTCAGGGGATAGCTTTCGAAATTACTCTTCTAGAAAACCGGAAATCTTCTCTAGTTTGTAAAGCTATACACGCTAAATAAAGTAGCGTTTAACATTTTTTTGCATATAATTATATCCCGTTATTAGATTGGTCTTACTTCAGGAGCTGTTTTGTTATAAACACTTGTTAGAAAAGTGGCGACATAAATCTTCGGCATATATTTAGGAATAATTGGATGGTCTATTCTTAAAAGAACAGATATGCAGGTTTAAATGATATTTCTATCTGACTTTAACACTCGGCATATATTTAGGAATAATTGGATGGTCTATTCTTAAAAGAACAGATATGCAGGTTTAAATGATATTTCTATCTGACTTTAACACTCACAAAGGAACAACGTATATTGGAAGCCATTATTTATAGGTAGCTTTTGTTCCCTGTTGTTTTTGCCTCCAGTCATGCTGATCGTATAATGAATGCATTGTGAGTGCTTTGTATCGAGACAAGAGAATCGGTTGATAGAAAAGCGTTTAAATCTATTCAGGGAATGTGCATTAGGAAATTTTGTGATAAAAATCTATAGATATATATATGTATATCTATAGATTATATATATATATATAGACCATCTATCTATAGGGGTTTAAGACTGATACAGACTTTGGCTAGTCTTTTGTATTAGAATGTCTAGCCGCTTTAACCCTTCGCGTTTTTTTAACTTCCGACCTACTGCTATTTGAAAATTCAGTTCCGCTGGTTTTTTTTTTATGAAAAGTATTTGGGTGACATTTTAACGAGTCTCAAGCTACAGTTTCCGTTTGACACACGGTTATATATTATTATTATTATTATTATTATTATTATTGAAAACTTACTTGCGGACTTACCCTGGGAGTGAGTAAGTCTGTGGTTAAGGTTGCGAATCCAAGCTGTGGTCGCAGATAGCGGACACATTAAATAGAGATGAGCCCTTTGATGTTTAGATACACTCTCAGAAACAACTAGCAGGAACATGCCTCGTCCGACGTATAGAATATTTTTTTAATAGAGCTATTCCTCTTGTATGGTCCTGTAGCGTATTTTTCATACATAATTTTGCCAAACTTTTGAAGTTCATATCCTTTGGGAGGTCGTTAACAAGTTCATAGTGTTCACTCTATTCAACGAAGGCACATTCAGTTTGCCTCTGAAGTTACTATGACAGGTGCTTCGTCCTTTAACTGTCGTCCAGCCTTTGAGTGCCGTCGGCTGAATCGGAATCGATGGCAGCTACTTTATCTTTTCCGTTAGCAAGGGAACCTAAAAACACTGCTCATCAGAGACAGCGGGAATGCCCGGTTTTTTCGTCAATAGGAAACCCTCTATATGAGCATCAGTCATTAAGCTGCCCAAATAATTGCTGGCCAACCTTCAAGTGTTCCGAGTGACTATTCATAGAAGCCAATAGAAAAAAAGCCACTGTTATAATTCGATATTATTCAACCGCGTTCGTTTGCTTTATGGAAAAAACTTCGATTCGCCATTGGTTTTGGTGCGTCTTTTTCATTCTCAGGCCTTTCGTACATGACCTATCATTACGGCTGGTTTACCTCATTTAAACGGGTGTAGTGAGCTGATTAGACACAACCGAATTAAATAATAGCCCGCTTGCAAATGGATGGTGCCACAATTCGAGTGGACCTCATTGATAGACCACATATTGATTTATAACAAACTGGAACGGCGCCGACAGATGCTTCCATTTCAGATGTTACTTTTTGACACAGGTACGCCTCATTTCCGTACACGTCGGTCTGAACAACTGCTTCGACCCTGATCTCGCGATATACGCAGAGAATCACCCTTGGCGACCAATGAGCGCCCATCTTTTGTACGTAACTAACCTTTAGCGGAACTATGGAAGCACAAGGAATGAAAATGATATCAACTCTTCTACATAATATTATAATGATTAAGTATATAATATTACTGTGAAGAGATCGTCGACCGCTGTGGCATCACCAGCCTGATATCAAGTTCGCACATCCTGGAAAATGCCAAGATCCCCACGACTCGCGGATGGCTTGTGGCAGTTAGCAAATTGTAAACTGGGCAAACCGGAAAATAGTTGATAAAATAATTTAAGACGACCGCCGAAGTGTTATAATGCACGGCACTGTCAGAAACGGCAACATGGACCGGGCATATTCACGTACGATACAGTCGGGGCTTTTAATTATAATACACCGTCCATGGCCATAATCAACTACTGCAACAAACGCATGCGAAGCTTTCTTTCCCGTTCACTATGAAAAAGCTAAAAGGTTTGCTTTCCGCCGACGAACAAGGGGTCCGACTCCTACATTTATCATTATTTCTTAGATTTTCCATTTACAGGACAAAAAAGGATGCAGATTATCGCACATCGAGAAAACAATGCAGTTTATTCACACATAGCTCATTTTGACTGGACACAATGTCTGCCCTATGGAAACAATTATTTTATTGAAACTATACCCCCAGTACCTGTCTTAGTGTCCAACGAGCGCATTTCAACTAGTACTACTATACGGGTATGAATGACTTCTCGTTTTTTGCAGTCTACTGTAGGGAACTAGAAGGATAATTTAATTTTGCCGCCACAATGAAACCGCCACCGCTGATCGTCAAAAGGACAAGCAGTCTGCGAAACATTTTCGTCACATAATAATGTATAAGATAAGTCAACTTTCGAGAATCGCTTACTCTACCAATTTGGCTAGCATAATTAAAATTTCTATTTCACTGGGGTACTATTCACGATGTAATTGCGAAGAGATCGTATGTACTGCGGAGTGACCTGCGATTGGGTCGACCACCTCCTTCTCACATATGAGCTACTACAAAAAGCGGGTCGGAATCCTTCCAGTGATTAGACTACCATGTGCGCCCCCTATATGACGCAAGTTAAAGCTATAGGTAATTCCTATCGGTCCACAATTTCTAAATAAATCTCTGTGAACATTGGTTGTGTAGTTATTTCCTAGATACTGCCTCTTTCAAAGTCAATCTACTTCAGCTTCACGAATATGTGTTTTTTTTCTCAATTACGCCTGAAGCCGTTGAATTGTCAAATATTTCTATAACGATTAAGATCACAATCATTTTTATTTCTGCACACAAACTTTTCCACCCTTCTGTTAAGAGAGTTTTTGTTTTGCTTGACGTCTTACGAATCTCATCGAATAATAATCAAGGCGCTTCAAAAAACGATAGTTCTTATGGGTGGGTGTCAAACTTTTTTAAGGCTTTGATTTGCCTATAAGGAAACGAGATATATGTATTAGTAGGGCTCGAATTATTCTCTAAGCGACACTGTTTGCAAAAATAGAAACGGGCGTCTTTTCCTTGAGCAACGTTGCCAGACACGGTGCCGTTCCAAGCAGGCACTTATGTGACATGAGGTCCTTGTACAGAAATATGTTTGTTTTACGTAACCGACAATCGCACTTTTTTAGCTACTTGACTGTACTGCCACTCCGACAGACGCTGCTCAAAAACATTAATGAAATGCAAAAACTTGATGCCAAGCATTATATCTTTGGTTCAGCGGTTGTGATAACCGTGCTTTTGCATTAAATGAGCTGGACACTTTTCTGGGAGTCCATTACGTTTCGTCGCGCCATACCTAATAAGTTTATCATCTCGTGGCTCGGCCTTTTCTACTCATGATTTTACTAGGACGACGCCTAAGGCAAAAGGCTTAAAGGATATCCATGGAGCGCATTATACCAGCTTGTAAACAAGCCACTACCGATTGTTCCCCTAAGAGATAATGCAAGGTCACATAAAAGTGCGTCAACGTCTTCTGAAGGCTCACTGCTTCAGCGTCCAGGCGAATTCGGCCGACTTGGATAAGTGCGGCGGAAGTGCTTCAATGTTCTCGAATGCATATCAGTCGTATGTTGGGATAGGAAGAAAGTGCAGGAGAAATAAAAATATAGCACCGAATATCCACTTCACGCTGCGTGTATGTTAAGAAATCTAAATTAGATGAGGCCGCCTGCGCCAGTATGAGAAGATCTCTCAGCCTTGGCATATAGTGGATTGTGAAAACCAAGCTTGTAAAGATAAAAGCATCGCATGTGGTTATTTGGTTAAGATTGACCATTATCATGTTTAACATTGACTAGAAGTAAGCGACATGAAGATGCCACAAGCTAAATGTATATCTTTGTGCACGATGTGGCAAGCATCATGTGCTTACTTCAAAGATCATGAGGGAAAAAGAAGTTGTGTGCTTTTCATGC